CCGCATTGACGGTGTAAGAGCTGCGTGCACCGCATTGACGGTGTAAGAGCTGCGTGCACAGCAGGGACGGTGTAAGGGCTGCGTGCACAGCAGGGATGGTGTAAGAGCTGTATGCACCACAGGGATGGTGTACTGCACATTCAGCACGTGTGCAGAAACAAAGGAAGAGAAAGTCTTCCAAAGAAATCTAAGAGCTGCCAGTAACTGAGCTCAGTCACGTACCCGGCTTTACTTCCTAGTTTAATGTTGATTATCCAGGGCATAGAATTTCATCGGCCCATCTGGCCACAAACTGCCGCTGCCCTAACAAGCCCTTGGTCACGGGTCAGCTGAAACATCCAGAGTCCCTTAACAACAATGTTAATGAACTTCACCAAGAGATGTTCATAGGCTGGATGATGGAAGCTGGAGCAGTGTCACTGGCAGCAGAAGCTCTGCCAAAGGTCTGCACAGTGACCAGTTCTACGCTTCCTGAAGCTGGTGAGCTGAACTTGCTGAACCTCCAACTGCCTAGTTTAACTGCCTGTATTTTACTAGCACACCTCGTACAGCTAATCAACATGTCATTGACTTTAACTAATCAAACCAAAATGTCCCCAAAGTGAGGTAAAACCTGAAACACTTCTTCCATTTGGATAACCTCAATTTTATAAAAACCTGTAAATGCAATCGTAAAAGTGCCAAAAGTCCCCTTTTAGATAGGAAGACCTGTGTGTGTGTGTGTGTGTGTGTGTGTGTGTTTGTGAAACCTCTCATTCCCATGCAAAACTGGGCAATACAAATAACAGGGCTTATGAGGAAAAACAGAGTTTTCCTCAAGCGTTAAAGCTGTTCTTTTATGTTCATTGGCTGAAAATCTTATCTCCAAAATCTTCTCAAACACTTTCCTGTCACCTTGTTCGCTCATATTTACAGCAATGGAGCAGATTTTGTGAAAATGAGCACTTTCAGACCACAGCATATGGGCCGACTGAGCTGAGAATCAAATGAAATCCTCTGTGGATGAAAACGTTCAGGTGTCCTACTCAAAGCGCAAATGTGTCAGGGATAAAATCACATATAAGCCAGAGTGAGGTTGGCATTATAGTCTAATCTTTCCCCTATTTACCAATCCCATATGAGCCAACACGCATTTCGGAAATTCATAGCATAAATGGGTGTATTCTTATTTGACGAGCCCTAGAGCTTCAACCACAGGGTGCAATTAAAAATGATTAATCATGGCAGCATAAGGTTTAAACATCATAAGAAGTCAGAATTCGATCCAAACGGAGTTCAGAAGTTTTTTTAAAAAAGACCATATATAAGGATTCTGTTGAATGACATGCATGGTTGTGTCAGGGCTAATTACAGCTCAGCGGGCGCTGATGATGTCATGGCAGGGAGGTGCTAAAATCCGACTTTCTGATTGGTGATCTAACACCAGAGGGGCACACTCAAATGACTTGTAACAAAATGCACCGGTCAGCGGCCAATGGGAGCGGGCCTCTCTGCCCGCTGACGTTTCAGATTTTCCGTGGCCTCCTCCGAGGGCGGAGCTGACCGCGCGTTTGATGACCGCTTGGCCGGAGCGGCCCAGCGCCGGCGGCATCCTGGCACAGTCAGACGGGGTTTTTGCGCGGGAAGCCGCTGAAACCAGAGACCATAATTCAGCGCTACAGGCTCCCCCGAGAAGACTGCCTCATGGCCCAAAGGAGGCTGGGAGAGGCGAACGGAGGCGGAGCGCCACTGAAAGGGGGGCAAGGATTACAGAAGCGGGCGGCGAATCACCCTGGGTATAAAAGCGGCTCGCCGGAGGGCAGATGTGGCGCCGAAGGTACAAAGGGAGGCTGAGAGCCGGGGGAGGCCGACGGATCGGGTCACTGAAGCGGGCAGCTTAACGGAAACCAGGCGTGAGCCTCAGCTTGCCGAGCTTAGAAGTCCTCCCAGTGTTCATGTCAGAGCTACACGCAGCTGAGTTACGGCTCTCACTGCACCAGTGAAATACATCCGGCGCCGGCAGAGTGCTGTGTAACGCAGTTCCACTGCCATCATCAGGTGCCGCTTCTCGGGCCTGATGTCCGGCGCCCGTGTGCGTCTCTGCCACTGCTCCCATCCTCAGTGTCCAGCATTTAGGGAAAAAGAGCAACGCTGGCGGGAGCCACTGAAAACCCCCCCCGAGGAGAGCAAACTGGGGCATAAACAGCACATATGACGTTTGGCCATTAAATAACGTGGACAGTGACTTTTATTGTTTCAAATGAGTAGAACTGCTGGTCAGATCATTTCCATTGGGCAGATACCAAAACAAGAGCTGCCAGATAAATCAGAGCAACTTCTGTAACACTGAGATGTTGTACGTTCAGGAAAACAAGACAAAGGGCTAACAGCCAAAATGGTTTCTAATATGTTGGCGTCCAGTCTAAGTGTCCCTGCCGTGTGCTTCGTGCTGCCTGCGGCTACAGCGTGACTGTGACCCTCTACTGGAAGACGGATGGATTAACGGATGTTTTGCACAAAACGCCAGTCCTGAAGTCATCTTTGCTGATGGATTGCAGGAGTTAAACGCCTTGGATAAGATGTTGGAACATCCACACTGATTATTTCAGCATAATTAAATCACCACTAAGAAACCAAATAATCAAGGCTCTATGTATCTGAGGTGGAAACTTGTCATGCAAATTTGAATGCGAAGGTCATTGCTTTGGTTAGATCAGAGCTACACCCAATAGGGGTTCACCTCTCTGTCTGTCGCAGGGGTTGCCCATCTCTCGTCCAGGTGACGCTGGGCTCTGGGAATCCGTGCGCCGTGCAGAGCAGAGTCACACTGCGGGTGGCATTGGTCAAAATGGCGTTCTGACCGGCGCTCATTTGGATGTCCTCCTCAAAGTCCATGAGAGGCCGGGGATCCGGTTGGATGATGACCGGCTTTCTCCATTGGTGGGGCATCTGGCCTGCGGCTTTTCCGTTCGCGGTCTCTGACAGATTGGACGTCCTGTCGATGGACTTCCCGCTGGAGCTGGTCCAGACCCCTGATGCGGCCAGGTGCTCGCTGAGCGGAGTGGCTACGCTCAGCTCACCGGCCAGGCTGATGTTTCTCAGCAGCTCCGCAAACTGCCGGGGCTCCAAGCTGTGGCCGCCTTGAAGGACCTCCAGATGTTTGTTACGTGGCCACTCAGAGCTTGTCAGGTAGCCCCGGACAGCCTGGAGGAGAGCCTCGTCCTGCACCTGGCTGTCCATCGTGTATAGCTCATTTCCTCGGCTCCCATTCTGCCTCGCCTCGGTCCCGAGGTCCAGCTTGGTGAGTGGTCCGCCGTGCTCGGCCTCTACGTCCCTCCCCATGGATGGCTCAGCCAGCCTATTGCTCCCAGTCAGCTTCAGAACGAAGGTCTCGGAGGTCGGCCCAGCCACACAGCGGTACACCCCGGCGTCCGGAGATTCCAGGCCATGGATCTTCAGCGAGCCAGACTTGGTGATGCCCAGTCGCCTAGAGCTGAGCAGGCCTTTTCCGTCCTTTTCCCACCTGATGTGGAGCTTCTGGAATTTTCTCACGGGGCACCTGATCACCACTGAGGTCTTGGGCAGCAGGTAGGCCCTCCCGCCCACGGTGAGCTGGACACGTTTCTCCTGCCTGGTCTGGATGTAGATGCGGTGGACACCAAGGATGCGTGGCTGCCTGTGACTCGCCTCCTTCGGAGGCTCTGCAAGCGAGAAGGAGGGCTGTTATCAAACCCAAAAGCACGCTTAGCACCCAGCCAGGCTCTGGTACCCAGGAATCCATTCAGAAAATCACGGCAACGGCAGATCGCCATAGCGATAAGAGCAGCAGGCTGCTTACTGGAGCAGGGGTTCATGCGACACGCCCGGATGAGCGGTGGAGCGGCCAAGCCCCCGCAGGCTTCTCGGGCCAGGATCACGTGCTGTCCCGTGGCCGACAGCCGGCGACACACTGGCTCCCTCCGCTGGACGCCTGTGCCACAGCTCACAGAGCACTGTCAAGGTGATACCAGAAAATTCACAGGGAATGGCCGAGACGCACCGGCGTGTTTCAGCGCAACAGCAGCAATATTATATAATATTACATCACTTGTATTCTTAGCAGCTGGACTTTTCCAGAAAGACTTACAGCACATTTTTATGCATTTTCACTGAAGCAAATCAGCTGCTGTATTCTCCTTCAAGCAACTACGGAACTTCCTCTCAAACTCGCAAGAAGGTATAGAAGCCAAATCTTTAGCAGTTTTGGGAACTATTGCCTGGAACAAGGTGATGGTTGAGTACCTTGGACCAGTCTCCACCAGCCATCTGCGGGGGACAGGGTGTGCGGACGCAGGGCTTGTGGGAGGCAGGCTTGGCCTCAGGACAGGAGGCATCTGGAAGCCTGTGGAATGCGCCGGTGGACAGCTGCTGCTTGCAGTGGACTTTGCGAGACTGGGTGCCACCCCCACAGGTGTGGGAGCACTGCAGAGAGGAGTCCCGGAGTCAAGCGACCAATCATAAGAGAGGGCTTCCCTCGCCTCCCTAACGTCTGTCAGCCGGCGGGCTCACCTGTTGCCATTCCTCTACCTGCCAGGAGGGGGGGCAGTCCACCTGGTTGCAGGCCCTCAGCACAGATGGTTTGAAGTCCTCGCACTGGTCGTCGCTCAGCGTCACTGCATCCTCGGGGTCCATAGAGTGCAGCTGACTGCAGTGCACGCTCCTGGTCTGGATGCCCACCCCGCAGCTGGCTGTGCACGGGGTCCAGGGGCCTGGAACCCACCTGGGGGGGCAAGACTCACTGAGGATGTTGGGCTGGTCTATTATTAATTTGGAGGGGGGGGTTGTGCAGACAGGCAGGGGACTGGGAGCCTGCAGCTGCATCCTGCGTCATGGCCGTTAGCTCTTGGGGGGGGGGCGTTAAATCAGACCAAATTTTTAACCAGAGGGAGGGAGCTGCTAGCCGTTATTCTGCTCAGCAAACTGACGAACGTCCTGGAATTTCACATATTTAAGTTGTCTTTCGGGTACTCATGTGGCCTCGGGGACTGACACAGCACACACAGAAATTAAATCCAGTTCCTTAACCTCACCCAGTTAGTAAGGTCTGACTTTACCAGGATTACTCGGATGCCATGCTGATCGTAGTCATAATTCAGCACTGAAATATCGAAGGTAGATAAAAAGGTTGCTATGATGGGGTGGGGGTTACGGCCGCTGATGGGGGTGTGCCCACATCATGGCCTAGCTCAGATTAACCATATGGGTATTTGGACATTTGCCTAAGGCCACCAAGAAGAACAACCCCCTCCCCCAAATTGCCCCCCTTCAGTCCCGTTTAATCTAATACACTTAATATTTTTTAACATGGCATTTCATGAATAGCCTATGTAACATTTTCCCAACTTTAGGTTCATTTCTGAATCTCGTGAGCCTCCAATCTGCTCCATTTCTGTCTGCATTGTCATGCATTGTTTCCCAGGGACATTTAATACTCTTAATCCGACCCGGGATTACGAAGCTCACAGACCCCTGAGCTGAATCTAATACGTCATGAAATTTACGTGCAGGTGATGGCTTCTGGAAACATTTTGCTTTGCAAACCCCCAAAACAGACGTATATCACAGAAACGCGTCTCATTAAGTCATGAAGTGATCGTAGCTCCACTACACACTGAGTGGCGGATGGCTGCACACTGTGTCCTCAGCGGAACACGGAATCGTCTCCTACCGGACCAATAAACCCCCCGTTTGCTGCCGTCGTATGACCTACAGCTATTCCGTGACGGATCCCACTGTTTGGCAGCTGAAATAATGTAATGGAAACAAATGCGCATTCTGATGCATGGATCTTGGTCACCCAATATTCTGTTAAATCGCAGATTACGACCATAAATTATAATTTATTCTTAATCCGAGCCAGTGGGAAGCAGAGCGGCCCAGGATTGTTGTCTCCCAGTGTCAGGGTTGTTGCCGTGAGGAACGATCTCCAGCGGCAGGCCTGCAGATAACCTTCACACTGGGTTCTGGCTTGCCTTTCCCAAGGGGCCCCTGTTCTGGTTCTGAGCCCAGTTTCAGTTCAATAAAGGCGTCCGCCCTGTGCCACAGGGCGCTGGCTACGATTCAGCACATCATGCATGTCAAGGAGCATCGCGAACAAGCATTTCCGCTCAGCCAAGGCCGCTGCTCTGAGGTGCCCTGCCCGTGTCCTCAGGTCGAGCTGATGAGTAAGGGGGGCCCGGGGCCCCATGCGCACCACTCATGCTCTCCTGGGCTGCTGCTCTCGCCAGCAGAAATCCAAACTTCATAATTTGAACAGCCATTCCATTTACAGCTTTTACACCCACACACACACCACATCATATCCATACCTGGGGGGACATGGATGGGGGTTGCAGACCCGGGTAGCTGTAGGGGGTCGACTGGAGTTCCTGCAGAGTGTCTCCTCCACCACCTCCTGAGAGCCACTCCTGAGACAGCTTAGCACGGTCTGCTGGACCCCTGTTGGAGGACAGTGCTGGATCTGTGCAAGATCTTAGAGTCCTGTCAGTCCTACCCAACACCTATAGCAACAACTTACAATGACGAATAAGAATTCCCCCTGGTGAACCGCCTGAGGGCACCCTGAGGTTTTGTGGTGACCCAGTTTACCTGCTGCACAGCTGGAAGAGCAGGCAGTGAAGCCCACATGCTCCCAGCTGTAAAGTGGCTCCCCCTGCTGGAGGAGCGGTGTCCCGTCACAGGAGCCCAAGTTGCATGGCCTCTCTGACGAGGGCCTCTCCTCTTCACACTCGCTATCGGGGAGGTCCACCTCCGCCTGAGTGAAGGACAGGAGCACTCGGCACTTCACCCAACGGCTCTGCCGGCCCGGGCCACAGGGGGCGCTGCAGGGCAGCCACGGCCCGGTTATGAACCTGCACACAAAAGCATAGCGGGGCAACAGCCTTTATTGAGGACATTTTCACGCGACACTTTCCATGATGCCAGATCATCATGAGCTGGTAAAGACAATGATAAGTGCTGTCAGATCAGTGTGGCGTCATTGAACGACTTGTAACGGTGTCCTCAAGTGCCCAGAGTCTTTTCCCAGAATCACCTAACACAGTGGTTCTCAATCCTGTTCCTGGTGACCCACCTGCCAGAATGTTTTCGTTCCAACCCGACCTTAATCATGCTTATATGGTCCTTAATAGGCTAAAGCCGGTTTCAGACCGAACGCGGCCTGCGCTGTGCTCCATGCATTTGTTGAACTTTGACCGCTGCGCGCTGTGACGTATTGTCTCACAATCAACAGAAACAAGGCACCGAACCGGGAACAGAAAACGAAATGGAGGAAAAACTTATATTGTCTGTGTCTGAGTTCCCACAGCTATATCACACAAGCGTGGAATCTTTTTGAATGCGAAATATACATCGTCGCTACTGACCACGAGCCAAAATGACAGGAGAGAGTTTTGAAAACCACGCCTACTCTTTGCGCAGAAGCCTCGCAGCGAGCACAGCGCATGCCGCGTTCGGTCTGTAACCAGCTTTAGTCTATTAAGGACCATATAAGCCTGATTAAGGTCGGGTTGGAATGAAAACATTGTGGCAGGTGGGGCACCAGGAACAGGATTGAGAACCACTGATCTAACACATCGCTACAGCATGTCTTTCCAGGAATTAAAAACACTTCATTAATTAATTAGTCATTCCATTGAATGTCTAATGAGTCATGTCCCAGCTGATTAAATCTAGACAAAAAAAAAATGGGCAACATTTCAAACCAGTAGAGAGAGCTGGGTAAACATCTCAGGCACCTCCGGAGGTGCGAGAACGGAAAAGGCAGATGAGGGAAGGTGCACAGACGGCTCTGCTGGACGCGGCACAAAAGCGGGAGACGGGAATGGCCGTTTCCTGGAGGCATTCAACTGGTCCTGTAAACTAAATCAGTGTAATGCTGCACAGAGCCCACAAGGTCGGCCATCCCACTGCGTCGCAATGAGCGACAGGCTACATTTCACAAAGCTAATCCTGCTTTAAAGACCCCAGGGTGAAATTCGCCGTGCGTCAGGACACATCGAAGGACAGATCGGGGCCCATAGGCACCTCATTCTTTAACAGCGTGAGGTCAGCCTTACAGCGGAAGGCTGTGGGGTGTTTAAAGGGGAGTGTTCTCCTATTTGGCTTCTTCAGATTCACCGGGGTGTGAGGCCACTGGGTCTGGAAAAGAGCTTAAACATGTCCCGCAGAATGACCCCCCCCCCACACACTACCACCACCTGTGGGCCCTGGGTAAACATTCCGCAGGATTACAGGATTCAGTTTTACAGGACCTGCAGTTTCCCCCAAGCGGCGACATGCAGAGTTTTGGCTGGTGCTATTAAAGGGTGTTTTGCCGACACTGTCGCCCACAATGGAATAACAGTCTGATAGGCCCGACCCAAACGGGCCAACCCGCTCCATCTCAGAACCGTCGGGCTGGGAGGACAGGGAGATTTGATATGCTGTGGTCACTCGAGAAGGACACAGAAAGGCATCTTCTGAGGGGTCAGTCCCAAAATGCGGAGGAGGAGGTCACCGTAGGAACTGCACCTCTTGTTGACAATCCCATGCATCACTCATTCTGGGTAATTAAAGGGTAATTTGTGGGGCGTGATAAAAAAAATGCACGATACACATCAATATACATTATAATCACTACATGTTACTGTAATACTTTTCTTGTTGGGATCTTATGATCAGCTTCAGTTACGATGAACACTCACATGGATTTTTAAAGTGCAAAACACAGTGTGTGTTTGTCTGTGTGTGTGTGTGTGTG